GTGTGAGAGAGAGAGAGAGAGAGAGAGAGAGAGAGAGAGAGAGAGAGAGAGAGAGAGAGAGAGGCTTTTGTTGCGTAGGTGGCCTGCGCATTGGAGTTAGCTCGACATGGTGTGAATGGTGCAGGGAATGGTTGTTAGCCGTTGTCTCCTTACTGTACTTTGTCGAAATCCCATTTATGCAGGTTTCGCTCCCCAATGGTCATCATCTCACTGTCGCGTTTACAAGCCTGCAGAGAACCTATCGTCTTCGCCCGAATAGAACCCCCGATAATTGTCGCTGTATCTGGACTGGAGGTTGGCCCAAGTACAGCTATAATCACCGGACATTCTATTGGGGTGAAGACGGTTAGCTTCTTGCCAATCATCTTTGGCCCACCTGTACTTTTTTCGCTTTCCTGGAGTTGCAACGTGGATCCTGATTATAGCTCGATGACGTTGATCCTGATCGTCGGAGTAACGGGCTCTCGAATCGAACGAAGGGGATGCATTTCTCTTCAATCAATCAATCAATCAATCAATCAATTTACCAATAAACCAATCAACCAATCACTCAGCTTGTCAAGGATCGAATTAACCGATCAGTTCATACTGTAAATCAAATCAGTCGACATATTAATCATGGCGTCCTCAACATACTCGTGTTGATGGGATATGAGCGACTGACGTCGCGGCTGCAAATCAAACTGAAGGATGTTAACGGAATGAGCAAACGGATGTTAACTGACGTCGCGGCTGCGAATCAAACTGTAACAGAGCTGGCACTCTTCAAACGTTTTACAAGTAGCTTTTTTTTTTTTTTTTTTTTTTTTTTTTGGTGTGAGCGCTCCATATCTACCGTCTTCACCCGAATACAACGTACGATCATTAATTGCTGTATCTAGACTGAAAGTTGCGCCAAATACAGCTATATAGTTGTATTCCGGCGAAGACGATAGCAAGGAACGAACTGCCCACAATCTACCAGGGTGCATGCACCTGTTGGCCGCCGGAGCTGTGGAGAAAAACGGGGGTTGGGGGAGGGAGGGAGGGAGGGAGCGGAGGTCGTCCGATATTTCGAGAGGTTCTGCACTTCAGTGCATCTACACTTGGCCCATTTTTTTTCTTCCTTTCCTTTTTTTTTTCCTTTTTTTTACTTTTTCTTTTTCCCGATTGTTTCCCTCTGATAAGTCGGTAAATGAATGCCCTTTCCCCCCTTTCTCTCAATCATTACTACAGTTAAAAAAAAGTCGCCCTTCCGCGGTCCCTATTTTTTACTCCACAGAAGTTTTTCCTCTTCAACTGTAACCGAACAGAGACAGAGACAGAGGTCCTTAACGGATGTTAACGGACCGCTGCAATTCTGTTTTGGTCTGAGTAGTGAACGGTGACCCTGATGCTGGATTCCCCCCTCCTCAACTGACGTTACTGGACGTTATTGTTCGTCTGTTGGTCTGAGTAGTGAACGGTGACCCTGATGCTGGATTCCCCCCTCCTCAACTGACGTTACTGGACGTTATTGTTCGTCTGTTAACCCCCCCCCCCCC